CACCATCTGTTTTTATTGCAGAGTCTTATCCATTCAAGGTAAACAACTTAGTCACTGAACAGAGGGTGACATGAAGAGAGCCTGCTATGTAACAAAGGACACTCCTATCCTGAAATTCACTTGCATCATGGCCAGACATGGGTCACCAAGAGAAGACCTATAAGGACCCTATCTGCATGTTCTCTGATACTAAGGTGTACACAAAAACCAGGGTTAAACTGCCACTGGGGACAAAGCACTATTGCAGACGATAAAGGCAATGGAAAGGTGTGGAACCCAGATCTGCACCTCAACAGGTGTATGCTTTGATTAAAAAGGCACTTATGTAACACAGGTCAGACAAATGGATTATACCATTACATCTTGAGGCAATATATGCCAAAGGATCAATAGTCACTGCACAGAAGTTACGTGTTGGAATAAAAAAGATGTGTGAGATTTGTGTAGACGGGGGTAAAAGAATAAGGGGTAGAAGGAAGGGGGTTAAGAACGGGGCACATAATATTTTATGTGAAGGAATGAAATAACAAAGAAGGTAGGAGAAAGCCATGGTGAATTTAAGGAGTTAGTGAAGAGACCCAGGGATGGAGTGGAATGTTTGAGACAAAAATGATGGGAGAAGACAGTGGAAAACAGACTCGAATTAAGGGCTAAATAAAAGTTCAGGTGTCATGCTAAGGACTTTTCAAGACATAACTCAGGCCCAGAACATAATAGGTACCTAAAGGAAATGATTGCTCTGGAGGTAAAAATATCACTTTTCGAATTAACAGTCAAATATTTTTATGAGCAGAAAGGAATTTAGACTTAATATAAGTGGTAGAAAGTCACTGATGGTATCTGAGCATGGGAATAATGAAGAAAATATACTTAAGGCCATATTATATATTAGGGAAATTAATTTAAAAGCACCAGAAAGAATTCACGAGAGAGAGTTTGAGACCGGGGGCAATTTTATCTTAGGGTATATGACTGAGTACCTTGAGAAATAAAACATAAATGAACTTCAAAATTAAGATTCCAAGTAAAGAAATAATTAAAAAAAAATTAAACTTTCAAATTAGCCGGTCAAATGATGCAACTGGACAAAGCAATTAGATTTGAGGAAGCAGGCCTTTCCTGAACATCTTAACTAACATTTTCAAAAGAGAAATAAATATGATCAGTGATTTTTAAGACTAGACACTACTTGAGTACCTTGGTGGAATTAAATTCTCTACAGTCAAAATTCCACTTTTAGAATGAATAGTCAATATTTTGTAAGATACAAGAATAGTCATTTAAAACATACTACAAAAAGGTACCAGAGATATCACCAGGCATGTTAAACACCCTGTAAGGGAAACCATCAGCTGAAGAATGTACTTAATCTTTGGAAGGATCATTAGGCGTTATGACATTCACCATAGCGCCTAATGCATTACTATGCAATCAAACCTGTTTATAATTAAATTATACTTACTCTTTAAATTACTTATGGAGCAATATTTCATTTGTTACACAATTGGCACCTAATCAAACAGTTCTGCAGAAGAGATGATTTCACCACAAAGTCACTTAATTTCAGTGCCAAAGTTTTGTTTTAAGAGATTTTTTAAAGCAACTGATCTATAAGTTTAGGTGTCAGAAATTTTATTTCTATAAAAATGACTACATCGACTAATCCTAAATCAAATCCAAATACTTCCATCCATTATGAAGCCATGTCTTCGCTCCTAAACATTTCATTTAAATAGTTCCCAGCCACAGGCTTATGTAGACCCACCAGGAAGTGAAACTGAGTATGATCACAGTGTGAAAGCTGAGCAGGATGAAAGAATACATTTGGAACTGGCCGAAGCACTGTTAAAATTTCATTTAAAAATCCATTCCCTTGGAGACATCAATTTAATTAAAGCAGAAATAAGAGGAATTTGAAAAGCATAAGTCTTCATTTTGCTGTTTGGCAACTTCCCCCATCTTCCATGCAAATGTCTTCTCCTGTAGCCAGGCTGGCTCATCTGAAATGTGAGCACTCACCCGACCAGCCTGGCCGCCGAGAGAGAGCAGGGTTAAGCTATCATTTTCCTGCTAGTAAATCTACTCTGATGCAAAACAATGACAACCTTTAATCACTTGCTTTGGAGAAAATGTATCTTTTGCTTCTTAGGTAACAAGCAAATCCCATTTCTCTAATTGCTTTGCTATGGTTACTGGCATTCCCTTTATTTGTAAAGCATACACTCCTTAAAAACTGAAATTGTGTTTTACTGTTTAATTAGTTTGCTTTTGGAGTAAGACTCAGTGATCTGGGGCATAGTAAGAGTCATAGTAAGTACCTCATGGTTATTCTTAGCCTAAGGATAGTGTGAACAAACAAAACTTGCTACTGTTTGTGTTTTCCTTCCCAGAAGGATACAGAGAATCATCAATCCTGGGCTCCAGGACCATCTCCCTTATTTCTGGAGTTTGTGTGTGGGAGAAGGGACTAGGAGACATTCACGCAAAAATGAATTTTAATGTACTGATTATTATACTTTATTCTTACTTTTATTTTAAGCGGGATTTAAGTTTAATATTCCATACAGTTCAATGTTTTCATGAACATTTCCTAGCAATCTAAATAACTAAGAAAGCAGTTCCTAACTAGTCGTAACTCCAGCCAAGTAGACAAGGTGGCTCCTATTTGACACTGTCCAAACATGAGTGCTAACCTGCAGGCCAGGAGGGCACAATGCTGCCAGGTATTAAGAATGGAACTTAAAAGGTGACTATGAATAAGCAATGACAGACACGTCCACTGGCCTGTAGATGTGCATGTAAGAACACATGTATACAAACATGCAAATCATGTGGTTAGTGAATTAAAACACTGAGACCCATCTCTGTGCCACGAACAGTGTCATTCCTAAGAAAATAAACCAATTACACTGTCATCATGTTAAGAGCTTGAAAAGCCACCTAGGAGTTTTATCCAGAGCCTGTCTATGGACTCATAAAAATGTCCCTATTAAAACAGGCCAGTCCCCTGCTCACTCCTCTTTCTTTTGGGCACCCTTTTTCCTTCCTGTTAGTCCCTCCCTCACTTCATCAAGTACCACACATTCACTGTAGACTCTAGAGCTTGATTCTTTATACTTGTGTTCAGTGGATTCTCTTGACAGGGAGACTTTGTTGAGCATTTACTATGGTGTGGGAAGAGTCGGACAAGAAATACTCTAAAATACTCCTAAAAGTTAAGAAGAATGAGAAATATTATACACTATGTACAAAGCGAACAGGGAATGGAAAAACAGATGATCACGGATCAGCAAGGATTAAACAGTATAAATGAGCAACTCTGAACGTGTGTATGATGCTTTAAAGTTTATGGAGCTTTTTTTTTCATAAATAGTCCTTTAAATCATGTACTTGATTTTAAGATAAGGCTTAAAGGCTTAAAATCAGAGAGGAAAAAAAGGAGTTGCTAAAGACCCACGTCTAGTGAGCAAGAGCCTGATCCTAAAACCGACTTCCAACCACCCAGAGCTCCCTTCCTCTCATGAGGGTAACAGCTACACTCAGGGAATGGAGAAAGCAACACAGTGGGATGCCTCTGAGCCTGTAGGTTGTGCAGGAGCTAGAGCAGAAAAAGGACTTCCAGCTGCAAGAAGGCAAGAGCAGGGGGGTCTTGAGTGAAGAAGCAAGAAGAGGTGCAGGTCCCACTGCGGAGAAATCTTCAAGGCCAGGGGGAAATGACTTTGCAAACAAATGAGGCTACAAGGGCACTGAGGGTTGAAAATTCCAGAATGAAGAGTATCACTTGACTTGATTCACAAAAGAGAACCACTAAGATTCTAAAACAGAACACAAGAAATATTTCAGGAAAATCAACCCAGTGAGGCGTGGGAGGTATGTGCTGGGGCAGAAGCAGGAAGGGAAGAGAACGAAGGCCCTGGTGCCAGGTAGGGCCCCACTGCAGCTCAGTAATAACGTAGTAAGGGTCCAGAACAGGGGGCATCAGTGAGAATGACCAGGAATGAAGGCCAGAAACATTGCCAGATGGGAAAGATAGGGGGAAAAAGGAAGTAAATTTGGGTTGCTGAACAGCTCACCATAAAGTGCTAGTTAATTCCTTTTTCATTTTTTTTTAGAGACAGAGTCTCACTTTATCGCCCTCGGTAGAGTGCCATGGCAGTGTCACACAGCTCACAGCAACCTCCAACTCCTGGGCTTAGGTGATCCTCTTGCCTCAGCCTCCCAAGTAGCTGGGACAATAGGCCACTATATTATATTTAGTAGAAATCCCCTCTACTAAAAATGTCCTCCCTCTTGCTCACGCTGGTCTGAAACTCCTGAGCTTGAGAATCTACCTGCCTTGACCTCCCAGAGTGTTAGAATTACAGGCATGAGCCACCATGCCCAGCCATCACAAAGCTGTTATATCTTCATTAAAGTTTTGTCATAGCTAACCTTTGACTAAGTATTGTTTTCAAGAGTGAACCTAGTGGGAAAGCTGAAGAAGGTGAGATGACAAGTCCACTTGGTCCAGATCATATAGGGACATGGCTACCATGTTCTAGAACTAACAAAGATATTTATGAAAGGGGTGTAGGTGGTATGATCCAGTCAGCGTCAGATTATAATTCAGAAATTTAGAATTTGCTACTTTGGTAGCTGCATGGAGAACTCATTAGAAAGGGGAAATGTATATAGGGAGGAAACCAGACAGAGCAGTAGTCCAGAGGATAAACAAGAAAGAAGGCTTGAACTAAGTAAGATGTGAATGAATGGGAAGAGGAGATGGGATGAAAGCAAAGGCACTACCAGCACCTTTAAGAGCTTTCCAACAGGTGCTCTGCTAAAACAGCCTCCAGGCATGGGCTCTCATGTTCCTCAGGGACTCATCAGAAGGACTGGTGGCAGACTAGAGATTAAGGAGAACCAGGATGCAAGGACAAGGGACCATCCAGCTGTGGCCATAGGCCGAGTGGTGGAAGAGGGTAACAAGTGTGGTTATTAAAATGCTGAGTTTGCAGTACCTGTGGGCCATCCGGTGGTAAGGTCTAGGAGGCAGCTGCAAAGACACACCGCAGCCCTGGGGAGAGGAGAAAAAACCAGTGAGTTTGTTAGGTTCTTCATTTGTGCTGAAGGCTCTGGCCACTGTGAGATTTAAAGACCTGCACTTAGTGATTTGGGGGAAAAAATAAGTTATTTAAAATAAAGAATGAAATGCAGCTTCAAATTCATATAATACATTCCTTTTAGAATATTTCCATGAAAAGTTGGGACAGGTTTTTAGCAAGAAAGCGGAGTTCACTAAGATATAAAGTTTGCATTTACACGCATACACACATACACAACTACAAAATCCCTCTTTAAATGATGGCTGCTTGACTACCCAACTGGAGGTAAACAGTTTGGAAGCAATCAGTTTGGTTTTTAAATAACTTCTAGCCTCCCTTTCCAGATGCTCCATACCCTCCCGATCATGAACTGCCAACTTTTAAACAAAACCTATAAGGGCATATTTTTTCATTTCATTTTAGTGTAAAAAAGCTCCTGCCTTTCCCAAGCTACTTCAACTTTAATTTATACTCTAAACTACTAGTATTAGAAATAGTGAACATATTTAGCTTTCAATAGGGTTAATAGACACATGAAAGAATTTCAGGTGTATATGTTTTATATATATAAAATACATGTTTATATATATAAAACAATTATACATATATATATATATATAAATTCTTTTTTTTTGACAGTCTTACTCTGTCACCCTGGGTAGAGTGCCATGGCATCATAGCTCACCGCACCTCAACCTCAAACTCTTGGGCTTGAGCAATCCTCTTGCCTCAGCCTCCCGAGTAGCTGGAATTACAGGTGCCCGCCATGACACCTGGCTAATTTTTCTATTTTTAGTAGAGATGGGCCTCCCTCTTTCTCAGGCTGGTCTCAAACTCCTGAGCTCAAGCTATTCATCTGGCTTGGCCTCCCAGAGTGCTAGAATTACAGATGTGAGCCACTGAACCCAGCTTATGTTTCATATTTTTATAATTAGCAATGCTCTTTCTTTGCTAGTTTTGATAGTTGGGAAACGTATATTTAGGGAATTTAATTCTGAAGAATTATTTCTGTTTTGTTTTTCCTGATAGAATTTATCTCCTTTTAATTACTGTATACTTATCTTGTCTAGTTTCTATTTCTATCTAGTTAGGCAATGAGCTCCCAGGGCACAGAGCTTCTGTGTGTAGGTTTCACTGAGGTATCCCCCCACCCAGCCCGGATCATAGGGGCTCAGTAAGTACCATATTTGAGTGAATAATCACAATCCCATGGTTCACTTTATGCGCTTGATATGATTTTTCCTTGGCAATCATCTCAATATCTGTGCTCCACCTTAATTGGGAACTATGACTTGTATTTACGTGCCCCAAAGAAACTCTCTCAGGACTACCTAGAGGTGGCACCCTGCAGGACATTGAAGGTGCTGGTACAAAGGAATTAACATGGGAAACCAGGGCCAAGTGTCCACCTCTGTCTTCTGAGAAGTGTCCACTTCTGTCTTCTCCCACCCACAAGATTCTGATTTCCCTCATCACAGCTCCTCTTTCTAGCATCTGTTTCAGCCCATCTTCCTTTTGGTCTTTTGACTTCTAGTTACCTCAGTTTGGCATCTATTGTTTTCAACAGCTTGACACTGGTTTTCTTGTGCATGTGGTTAAACTTAGAGAATGGTCCCAGCCTGTGTTTCTACATAGGCCAGAGCCTCGCATAACTTAAAATTACAGGACAGATACTATGGACTACTTTCCCCTCAAGGTTCCTATTGTCCTTCGCTGTTCCCCTTATAAAACCTACTGATTTCCTCACCACCCTGTCTGATAGGATAATCACAGTGACCACACACATGCATTATTCAACATCATTTTTTTCCTTATTTTTTTTCTCATCAACTCGATTTAGATTCCATGAATTACTGCATAATCAAATCCAAAGAGAAACTGTTACACTACTCCAAATTCACATTAAGAAACTAAAACTTGGGCAGTGCCTGTGGCTCAGTGAGTGGGGTACCATCCCCATATACCGAGGGTGGCAGATTCAAACCCGGCCCTGGCCAAACTGCAACAAAAAAATAGCCGGGCATTGTGGTGGGCACCTGTAGTCCCAGCTACAAGGGAGGCTGAGGCAAGAGAATCGCCTATGCTCAGGATTTGGAGGTTGCTGTGAGCTTTGACACCACAGCACTCTACCAAGGGCAGTAAAGTGAGACTCTGTCTCTAAAAAACAAACAAACAAAAATCTTTCCTCCCATTAGAAAAAAAAAAGAAAGAAACTAAAACTTCAGGGCCAGGTGTGGGAGCTCACGTCTATAATCCTAGCACTCTGTGAGGCCAAGGCAGATGGATTGCTTGAGCACAGGAGATTGAGAGCAGCCTGACCCAGAGCAAGACACCATCTCTAAAAATACCTGGGCACTGTGATGGGCGACTGTAGTCCCAGACACTTGGGGAGGCTGGAGCAAGAGGATCACTTAAACCTAATAGTTTGAGGTTGCTGTGAGCTATGATCTTACAATACTCCATGAAGGGCAAGAAAGTGAGACTCTGTCCCAAAAAAAAAAAAAAAAAAAAAAAAAAATTAAAATTTCAAATTTTGGAAAAAAAGATGTATTCTAAGTAATTTATGCCACAACTTTTCCATTTGATGTCTAAATATATGTTCAAAAACGTTGGGCTTCTGCACTCTTTGCAAAATAGACTCAATATATAAACTAGGCTATTACTTTTAAAGTCATTGGATTGGAACTAATTTAATTCATAGGCCAATACTTTCAAATGCATCAATTCTATCAGCAAGGCAATATTTAGAAAGGCTCTTATCATCTGCATAGAAGAAAATTCACTTGACAGCACTCCTTTTTTTGGGCAATGACTCAAATCAGCTAGACTGAAAATAAATCTAGAGGGTACACAGCTGTCATCTAGCCGCAAGTAGCTTTCTGAGCAAATAACTTGATTCATTTTTCTCTATTTGTACTACTGGTTTTGCAAACAGAATTGGAGTCCAACAATTGAATTTCCCCCCTCACCATGAAGTCAGGGCTTCTCAGTGTCCTGGAGAAGGCTACGTTCAATTCCTGTGCTCTGATGGGTGTAAACTGCACATAGTGATTTCTTGATTTTATTTAATAAGAAACAGATATGTGAGCTCAATGATCAGAATCACTTACAGAATAAGGGTTCTTAAATTTGAGAACGAGATTTTATCAAAGGAACAATAGCATTGAAGTTTGGATAACAGACAGGTGCCAGACTGGATTTCTATGCATATCTAGTAGGCAACTTATTTGTTTTCTTTCTAATAGTCCTTCATTACTGTTTTAAATTTTCCATAATAAAAATTTTTCATTTTATTATGGAAAATTTAAAACATACACAAAAGCTGAAAGAATGGGAGAATGAAGCCCACGTGCCCACCACACTGATACAACAATACCGACGCCCACCCCATGGGGTTATTTGAAACAAATTCTAGACATATTTTATCTGTCTTATTTCAATGTGTATCTTTAAAACAAAAAAGTCTTTAAAAATATGTAACCACAATATCATAATCATACCCAGTGGTTTACTGCTAGATATTTAACAACCAGTTCTCTGAGGAGAAAACTAAAGCACCCTGATGTGTATTCTCTGCCATCTTCCCCTGTACCAATATTCCCACCATGGCCAATTGCAAACTACCAACACCATGTTCCTGAATGTGAAGTTGAGAAGAGATGGGTCCACACCACTATACAGCATGTCTACCTGCAGATACGCTAGACACAAATAACCTTAAATCGTAGATTATAGCAAGTTATAGTAACATAATTAGCAAGTACAAGTTTTGAGTAATTCTTTTACTTTTAATACTTTAAGTTTGTATAATTTTTTTTTAACAGCTCTGTTTTTAACTAGCTTACCAAATTTCTAGAAATACAATAATCAGTTTTCACAAGTCTATTCTGTGTGTCAGCTCTAGTGTATCCCTGAAACATATCCAAATAATAAATACTTCCTTAATTTTAATAACTACCCAAATTTCTCTGACCTATCTCTTCTCTTTTTCACTGAATGGTAGAGAAATGTTTTCAAGCAGGAGGGGAGAAAGAATGTCATTTCATGAAGCTACACTGAATGCTACTTTCTGTATATAACTTAGTCTAAGGTTGAACTCTGTTTCCAGGAGGTTAAATAAGATGCCAGAGGGATTATGTACCTTTTTACCATCTAGGAATCATAACAATTTTTTTATTTTGCTTTCACTGCCCATTCTCAGGCCCCCAAGAAAAAAAGAGTTGGAAAAGTAGGAGAGGAGGCTGGGTATGGTGGCTCATGCCTATAATCCTAGAACTCTGCGATGCTGAGGAAGGTGGATTGCTTGAGCTCAGGAGTTTGAGACCAGCCTAAGCAAGAGTGAGTGAGACCTCATCTCTACTAAAAATAGAAAAATTAACTGAGTGTGGTGGTGGGTGTCTGTAGTCCCAGCTACCCAGGAGGCTGAGAACTACAGACACTTGCCAGGAGATTGAGGTTGCTGTGAGCTATGATGATGCCAAGGCACTGTACCCAGGACAGCAGAGTGACACCCTGTCTCAAAAAAAAAAAAAAGGAAAGGAGAAAGACTTGGAGGAAGGGAAAACATGTCTGTTTCAGGTTAACCACCTTAAGTTGGTGGAATGTCCTGAAAGAAGATTGCTGAGAAGATGTAAGAGACTCCTGTGTGCCTCATATATCCCACCACTGAAACTCAGTTTGCATAAAACCCTCTTTAAGTGTGCCTTCCAGAACTGGATATGGCACATACATGCTGTAGTGCCTACGTGGATGGCAAAGTGGCATTACGGCCATCCTTGATGAGGATGCCACACTGGACTGCAGTCACACTGAACTCACAGTCAAGTAGAACTCAAGTCCAGCTAACGAACCAGTGTGTCCACAAGTGCTCACCCAGAGTCTACAGTGTACATTCATGAAGTTCCTCCTCTTACTATATATGGACCCAGATTACTTTCTTTTTTTTTTTTTTTTGAGACAGAGCCTCAAGCTG